TGGCTAGAAAAGAAAAGAAAAATACTTGTAAGCCTGATTATTCACCAAATAACAATCCCGCTTAAGAACTGTAAGAAGTGAGGCTACTTATTAGAAAAATGGGATTTTTAAATAAATAATTTGTGTGTTTGGAGAGGAAATTAGCAAAAAATAAACGTGGATTGTGTTTTTTAAAAATTTGTTTTTATTTTTTAATTCTAGATACTATGTATAATATTTATTTATCGTAATAGTTTTTTATCAATTTTTTGTTTTTTTGTATATATTATAAGAAAATTTTTTATTCATGATAATGCAAAAAAGAACTATATAAAAATTTTTACATAAATTGTAGAACTGAGGAAAAATCTGTAAAATTAAATTTAATGATTAGGGTGTGTATGGAAATCTATATTTTTGTGAATTCCTTTAACTATGAAATGTACTAAAAACATGTTTTTGGCTTGTCTTAGGGTTTATAGAATGGTTTCCAGAGTTCTACATATTTAATAACAATATTTTTCTTTATGTGAATATTTTTGTACATATTTGGTCAAGTTTTTTAAATTTTAGTAAAAACTAGCGAAAATTGTCAAAATTTTGGAAATTACAGGTAAAAATTATTTTGAAAAATTTTCCGAAAAAATATTTCGAAAATTTTTAAGAAGAATTTATTGTCAAAAAAGTTTTACAGAAATTATAAATCCATAAAACCTTTTAGAAAATACTCTTAAAATTCAAAGTGAAAGGCCCGGTTATTGTTTTCTACATAAAATACTGATTTTTAAAATATGTATTTTTTCACTACTTTTTGGTCAATATTTAGTGTTTATTTCCATATATTTAATTCCAGATTTCAGGATTTTATATCAACATTGTAAGTCCATATTTTTCTATGTTATATTATTTAGTAATTTACATACCCTAGTCATGATTTTGCAGAGTTTCGGACGTTTTATAAATTTAAAGTTTTCTAAAAATATGAATAGTTTTACAAGTCCTTATATGGTATTATGTTCTAAAGCAATTATTCAGAGGCATATCCTTCGCCGTTTATCTATAAGTATGTTATTGGCTGAAATTAAGTGAAAAATCAATGGCTTTTAGTGAGAATATAATTATATGGTATGATGCTTGTCTTAATAAAAAAAAGGAAACGGGAATTATTTTTAACAGAAATGATGCAGTAAATAATGACAAATGTAAATTTAAAAATTTTACAAAAATTTACAAGAAACTTACAAACATAAACAGTTAGTTTGTAAAAAATATTGGCTATTCTTGGCATATAAAGAATAGGAAAATTGGCTATTCTTTAAATGAAAAATTTTAAAAAATTTGAAAAACTCTAGGGTCAGTGCCGAAACAGGGTAACAGGATAATCTGAAAAATCCAGCGGGATCTTATCCACACAGCGCTTTACGCTAAAAATTTTCGTCTATCACCCCCAAACGCCAATTTTTAAATATAAAAATTTCAAACACCAAAAACGGTCAAAACATCGTAAAGTACGATTCAGTAACGCCGTTTAAGTATGGCCGCTTGAGTACAACGGGTTTTAGATTGTTTAAATATATAAAGCAATTTAAACAACAAAACGCCAATTTTTCAAATTTTAAAAAAATTGCCAAGAGCCTAATCTTCAACTTTTAAAAACGCCAAAACTTAAAATTTTCTAAAACGCCACACAATAAAAGTGGTCAAACTATTGCCAAAACGTGAATTTTTTAAATTTTAAAAACACGCCAAACACAAAAAATAACGCCAAAACGTATTAAAAATAGTCTAAGGACAAAAAAGCTTTAGTATAGGAATGGGATGTTTTTTAGAAAAAGTAAATGGCCTAAGGTTAGAAAGTTGGGGTATTTATAATGAAAATTTTGGCTATTTTTCTAATGTTTGTATTCTGATCGAACAAATACTTTGTGTTTTGATGGATATGTGCACAAAAATTGGGATTTATGTGTATAAAAAATATAAATTGTGCAAAATAATGTGAATCATCCGCCCAAATAGTGATTAATTGCAAAAATTGTTCTTAATTTAGTAACAAAAATCACAAAATAAACAAAAATTACGAAAAAGAGCGAGTAATTAATCATTGGAGGCCAAATGTGTGCTGTCAGAGGCCGTATAAAAGTAGTTCCAAAACTCGCTAAAAATCATTCTCCATTCCCATTCAACATTAAAAATCCCTAGACCCCCTATAACATTTACGCTTTAATAATATCTTATACCGTCCATTTTCTATACCCTCCCCCATCTATACTTTAATATTATCCATATACGCACATCCCTATACCCCCTCTCTAATTTAATATTATCCCTATACGCTCATCCCTATACCCTCCCTCCTCTTTAATTTAATATTATCTATATACGCGCACCCCTATACCCCCCTTCCCTCCTTAATTTAATATTATCCATATACGCTCCCCCCTATATCACCCTCTAATTTTTAATACCATCCCTATACTCTCTCCCTATATGTACCCCCCTGTCCTTAATTTAGAAATATCCTTATATTTTTTTGATAAATAAATTAATTTTAGTTATTTCAATAAAGAAAAAGTCTGATGGAAAAAATAAGCGATGCTCCAAACAATCATGGTAAATGATAATTACATTATTATTCAAATTAATAATATGTATTATCATTTACAGGCACTGCGAATGCTCCGATTATGATTGATGAAAGTACTAATACAGAGATGATTGCGGATAAAGGATGCGAGGAGAAAGATTTGAGAACTTCACATGAAAGTTTGGAATTAGAAGGTAAATGTTAAATATTTATGATTAAATATTCCTTTAGTTCCAATGACAGTAGAGGAAATTCAAGAAGTTCGCGCATTTATCTTGGAACAGAAAAAGAAGAAGCAAGCGGCCGAGGCGCGACGAAAACGTTCAATAGAAAAATCGAGTTCAACATTGAGTTCGGGTTCTTCTTCAATCAAGACACCGACCGCAAAGAAGTCACAAAGCAAGCCAAATAAAATAATTAAGAATGTTCATCGAGACACTTATGATGAAGTCATTGAGGTTTGAAATTTTTGTTTTTAACTGTAAAGTTAATATTTTAGTCAGTTATCAAACGCGCAAAGAGTCAAATTCCCAAACATTCAAAGGAAGAAGGGACTAAGGATATTCTTTATGCAATGATGAATTATGATGAGGAAGAGGACGAGTCTGATGACCCAGATCCCGATGCTGTTATTTCTTTGGGCGAGGATGAAGAGGAATACAATCGAAGGCGAATCGAACGTAAGTTTGATATTTTTTTATTTAAAAACTTTTTAGGTAAACAACGCGCTGAACAATTAGTTCCTGAAGGATTACTGAAGCGTGCACAGGTGCTTAAAGAACCGCGTCAAGGAATTTTCATTCACCAGTGCAACGATTGCCGAGAAAACCAGAAGAAACGACAAAAATTTCTTTACAAGGCCGGAAGTGCTATAAATTTTACGCTTACATTCGAATTGTGCGCAGAGGACCTCGACAAAAATATAAACCTAGGGGCATTTTATGCTCTTTCTTGGGGTATTATATAATTATCAAATAATCTAGAAATTTTTAAAAGGTGACAAGGAAATGAATGTGACGTCTGAGGAACAATCGTCCAGCTTTGAAAAATGTAAGAAAATTACAAAAATTGAAAATATTGAAAAACTTTTAAGCTGCCGGGGTGTTATACTTTCAAAAGGGTGCAAATATTGCTTCTGGGACTGATTATAAACTATTGAGCTTATTGAAATATTGTTGGATTTTGCATCAGGTAAAAATTTCATATTAACTACGATTTATTTTAAAACTTTAGTGCGATAAATGTATTAGTCTTCAGAGGTCCTTGGCCAGTGACATGTTCTTGCAAAAATGCGGGGAAAAATATGAGCTGAGTTTCATGGTAGATGTTCAAAAAATTTTTTTAAAATTAATTAAAATTTTATAGATTTGCGAGGCCTGTAAAGACATCAATAAGGACTACCAACAGAAAACTTTTGATATGTTTAGCAATTTTAATAAGAAAAAATGAATATTGATAACTATAACATTTGTTGAATAAAGGCTATTTTTTAATGGAAATTTTATTTTTCATTCGTTTGATCGAATTTTATCTTTTAATTTACTAATTCATCTTTAAAATTCTTTATAGCTACAAATCTACATCTCAGATTTTACAACTCGTTTTGTGAAATAAAAGGTTTCGTTTATTCTTTTTAATTTACATTAACTTTCAGATGGATCAACATGTAGCGGATATTGCACTTGAAGAACTCAAGGAGAAACGTAGACGTCTGCCTAGACAACTTGAGCAACTTTTCGATGCGGAGTATGACGAAAAACAGCTTAAGTCGGATCTTTACGTCGCATTTATTCAACATCATCGTAATAGATATCCGCAAATTTCATTAAGCAGAATCCATGAGCAGTTTTTGAAGGAAAGACACGCATTGGGAAGACAGGTTTTTATTGAAAAATTTATGAAAAATTTATTATAGGCCATTGTTGACGTCGTCAAAAATGAATTGTATTATGCGCTAGGGCATACAAATAGCAAATATTGGGGGCAAATTGATCTGCAATCTGCAATAGACGTTTGCAGCTACAGAAATTATATACCCTCAAAGAAGAAAAGAGGTAGTTAATTTTGTCTAGCATTAGAAGCAATTCATATTTTTAGAAAACTCTCCTGTTATAATAATGAACGACATAACTAAACGATTGGAATCACAGCTTAATATTGAGACAAAGGACGAGCAAGATTTAGGAGTTTAAGGCACATCGGGTACAACACAAGAAACTGTGTCAATATTTGCGCCTGATACTGTGAATTATTTTTCTACTACGGACAGGATGCCAGAAGAAAATGAATGGTAAAAGATATTCAAGCAAGCGATAGTTATTAAAAATGCTTTTTTTCTATTGAATAAATAAAAGAATAATATTATTTAAAATAATTTTTAGCGTCATAACCGCAAAGATATTTTAAAAATAATCATCAAAATTTTTTAGAATTTTAGATGAGCCAAAGAAATTTTGGAGAGTATTCCATAAATCACTTTTATAAAGAAGATGCATCCGAAAACTTAAAAAGCTCGAGATTCAAAATTGGAGTTTTGAGGTTGGATTAAAATTTTTCTTTATTTAATTAAAACTTCTAGAACTGTTTTCACAGTAAAGAATGTTGATGATGCTCCAGACGGTAGCGATAAACTTTTAGAAGATCTGATAGATCATTTTATTGCAAAAGCGGACAAAGCCGCAGGTGAAAAATCTGAAAAGTGTTCAATCATAATAAGAAGTTCCGTTCTTGAAAAACCCATTCAAATACCATATAGAGGACTTGCTCAGAATACTCCTCAGGTTGTTATGGAGCAATTTGATGCCGTTGACCAGAGTGGAAAACGGATGGGTAGACCTTCTCTTTACAGTCAGCCTATACATATTGAGGTAAATATTATTCATTAATGAATGAATACTTTGATTTAGATTGTCATGGGCCCTTCACATGATGAGGCAATTGAATTAATAAAACAAGGCCACGGCGGAATGGGCAGGAGATCGCGAGAAATTCAACAAGGGGTTGATATAAACAATCTAATTCCTGTGATTATCTTTTATATTTCGTAAAAGTTTAAGTATTTAGGTACTTAACGAATCTCTTAACCCTCCAGCTAATGTTCATTGTCTCCTTCTTGCTGTTCAACTTAAAATAAATCATGTCAATCTAGAAAAGACTACAGTTGCGAATAAAAAATTCCAAAGGCTTATAAATGGTCAAAATAAGACAGCAAAAATTGGGCGAACGCTTTTAATTAAAGAAATGCTACAGCAAATGCCAAGATATGGAATCCGTTATCCTACTTACGCTGCTCATTACACAGTCGAAGAACATGTTCCCTTGATACAACGTTTTCTGGATTTAAGTTTTCCTGGCAAATACCGAATTTCGGTGTTCGGAGAACATGGAAAAATGCGACCAATATGGAAGGGAGTAAAAAGAGCTGAACATGAGATTTCTTTATACTTAAAAGGAGAACATTATTATGGGATTAGAAACCTGAATGCGCTATTTGGTTCTTATTATTGTATTGATTGTGAGGCTCCATACACAAAGAAATTTGCACATCGGCATAAATGTGTTGCTAAATGCCCTCGATGTTGTGGCATTGGATTCGGGTTTCCTTGCACTGTGATTGAAGGATATTCAAAAAAATGTTTACAATGTTCAAATATTTTTAAAAACCCAGAATGCTATAAAAGGCACATAGAGAAAGGAATTTGCAACATTTTTAAACGGTATTATTCAAATTTTAAAATTACTAACAAAAATTAAAGATGTGAGAAATGCGGGCATATTTACCGCGTCAGGAAAGTTAACTATCAAAAATCAGAAAGCGAATCTACAGATGAAAGTGAACTTACGGCGGATGAAAATAATGGTCATGTTTGTTACATACATTATTGTACACTCTGTCGTTCTTATCACAAACGCGAAGAACGGTGTTATGTGCAACCGCTTGTGCCAAAAAACGATCTTGAATATCTATTGGTATTTAAATTTATCTTTAATAAATATGGTAATTGTAGATTGTCTTTGATTTTGAATGTGAACTTATATCTCCTGCAAGAAATGATCAAGAGTGGAAAAAGTTGCAAAATGATGCTTTAATGCCTCTTGGTGCAATTCCAAATGACGAGAACTACCAGATACATCATGTGAACTGTGTATCGGTATCTATTTCTCGTTTATCCATTAGAAATCTTTAGGCATTATTGATGTGTTCACGATGTATTGGAAATGATAATTGGAAAAATGAAAGAACAGGTGTTTGCAAAACTTGCGGTATTGATATGCCCAGAATGAGAACATGGACTGCTGCGAATTTTTCAAACCCTTTGCGTGAATTTTTGGAATGGTTGATTAATGGATTGGGAAATGAGCGAACATTGAAAACCTATGCCATTTCTCATTATGGGGGGTATGTTTAAGTATAACTTATTTTTGCATTAATAATTTAAGCCGATATGATATGCATCTACTATTGGGTGAATTGATCAAACATTTTGGGATTGAGCCAAAAATTACTCGAACAGGAAACAAGCTTTATGAAGTCTTAATTAAAAGACAAAGAAGTCGATTTCCTTACATTTCTTTTCGCGATTCGTTTAACTGGACAATGCTTAAATTGGAACAACTACCAAAAGCACTTGCACTTGAAATAGATGAAGGAGGAAAATCCTTTTTCCCTCACGGATGGAATTTTAATAAGAATATGAATGTAGCACTTGATGGATTACCTGATCAAAAATATTATTACCCTGATTCAATGGGAAAAGAAAGGAGAAAAATGTTTGAAGAATGGTATAACAACAATAAGAACGAAGCATTTTGCCTTCGCGAAAAAATTGTAGAATATTGTGAACAGGATGTTCGTATTCTGGCTCATGCACTTGTTAAACTTCAGCGCCTTTTCTTTGAGCTTGCTACTGATCCTGCCAAGCGTGACGACGTACTTGTTAACTCTATGACACTTGCCAGTGCGTGTATTCGTCATTTTTGTAGGCTCTTAAGGCTCTATAATTCAAGTTAATAAAATTTAAGGTATAAACTATTTGAAAGAAAATCAAATGGGAATTATTCCCGACAATGGCTATCACCGGGATTCAAATCAATCAGCTATTGCTTTAAAATTTCTTCGCTGGCTTTCGCACAAGACAGGCCTCCAAGTTCAACATAAAGAAAGTCCAGAAGGAGAAAAAAGAGTCAAGGTTTCTGATGGAAGTATTTTGCGTCTCGATGGGTATATTAAAAACATTGGAGGAGTAGACCAAGCTATTGAATTTTTGGGATGTGCCTGGCACGGACATGAATGGTAATTAAATTTATATTCCAAATTATTTGCATTTAGTTTATATCGCCCACATGAAGTTTGTTTAAATGGGAAGACGGCACTTTATAACAAAGATAAACTTTATGAACGTGTTGGCTTATTGAATGAAGAGGGAATTTGGACTACTGCCGTATGGGAATGTGAAGTTATGAAAGAACTTGAAGAAGATCCAGAAATGTCTCTGTTTTTTGATACTTTGCCAGATATTGGACCGCTGTATCCTAGAGATGCTTTTCATGTATGATTTAGCTGAATTATAGAATATAATTTTAAATTAAGGGGGGAAGAACGGGCCCTTTAGCTCTAAAATGTGATTTAGAAGCAACATTTGAGAATGATTATGAGATTTCTTGTTTTGATGTTGTAAGTCTTTATCCTGCAGTGAATTTTTATGCATTTTATCCTATTGGTAAATTATAACTATTTAAATTCATTTGTATATTTATTAGGACATCCGAATGTTTTGGAATTAAATAAGGATGTAAATTGGACTAAACCTGAAGATTTACATCCATATAGAGGACTCTTCAAGCTTTTCATAATTCCTCCAGATGACTTATATCTTCCAGTTATTCCAGAACGTATACACGGAAAATTGGTAAAATTTTAAAATTTTTTATTTAATTCATAAACAGATCTTTCATCTTTGCCATCGTTGTGCAGTGGAAATATCTCCAGGTGTGGCGATAAGGGCAAACAGTAAATACAATAAAGAAATTGGTCACAAATGGTGTCCACATACTGATGAACAACGAGGATTTGTTAGTACTACATGCTCGGTAGAACTTGAACTTGCTTTGAGGAAAGGATATCGCGTGACAAAAGTATACAGCATTTATCATTGGGAACAGTGGTCAGACACCTTGTTGAGGCCTTATGTTCAGGATATGATGCGGCTAAAAATTGAAGTAAAAATTATTTTATGACTTAAAAAACCAATACAGGCGAGTGGATGGCCAAATAGTGTGTTTGTCACTGGAAATACTGAACTAGAGAATCAAAGGAAAAAAGAATTTATTGAACGAAACCAGAGTGAATATGGCATACATTTAGATCCAACACGTATTGAAAGAAATGAGGGCATGCGTTACCTTGCAAAGACATGCAACAATTCAATGTGAGAATAATTTAAATATTGTTAACATTTTTTAATTAGGTGGGGCCGATGGGCGCTGCGGTGTAACTTGTCACAGGTATTTTCTCTTTAAATTTAAAACAAAAATTTTTAGGATTGTATAACTAGTTCCCCTGTGGAGCTCCACACGGTACTCAATGATCCAAAGCTTGAGCTTGGGGCTGTGGAAATGCTTGCTCCAAATCTTTTTTCCGTTCCATATCGGCATCGAAGAGAATTTGTACGCCCACATGACAAATACAATATTGCAATTGCACTAATTACAACAGCAACGGCCAGAATAATGCTTTACGACTATATGGAAAAAATAGTGAAAGAAAAGGATTGTAAGTTGCTGTACACTGACACAGATAGCTGTTTTTACGTGCATCGTCGAGGACAAACGCCTCCTTTTCGTGTTGGTGAAATGCTTGGTATGATGGACCGCGAATATGGAGATTGGAACATAGTTGCTTTCTATACTGGAGGGTGCAAGCAGGTATACAAACATTTTTAATTAAGCTCAAATTTTCAAGTATGCCATGAAAATGAAGCACAAAAATAGTGGAGAGATTAAATTTATTGTAAAATGCCGCGGGTGCTGGGACAAAGTTGATTCTCCTCTAGACTTTGAACAATTCAAGGTTATTTTTCGATCGTTTCTAAATTTCAAGAATAATTTAGAAAATGGTTGAAGCTTATGGGGAGGAACAAGAACCTGTCATTTTGGAAAGAACACATTTTCAGCCAAGCTGGCGCAGAGGGGAAGTCACAAGCAGATCACAAACTAGGTTTTAGCTATCTTAAATCATTATCAATTTAAAAATTTAGACGATATGCGCCAATCTACGACAAGGGAATAGTTGATGCCAACTTTGATTGTTATCCTTACGGATACAGAGGCGAACCGCTTAGTGATCCAACCGAATAAAATATTTCGAATAAATTTTAATTATATCATTTCTTTAAATTAATGTTTAATACAAAAAATATTTTTTTCATTTTGCATTTAAAATCTACTTTCAGACTTATTACTTATTGCTTACAGATTTGATTATCTATCAAAACGGCTGACAATTTAGGTGAATTTATTTTCCCATTTAAATAATAATTAAACGTTAAGAACTTACTACAATGATGGTAGAGAAATTAGCAATAAATTCCAACAGCATAAAGACTACACCACTTATCAACCTTCTCTGTGACTTCAATGGAGGATGCGTACCAGAAATGCTTAATTGTGAAATACGAAATAATTACAGCGAAAATTTGCAATTTATAAAATCTCTAACAAGTATGTCTCATGAAGATGTTAAGAAAGCCGGAGTTGGACAAAAGGAATTTAATGAAAGCAGTATAATTCCTGGAAAGCGATGTCTAATAGCAAATCATCTTAAAAATCGTTTTATTGAAGTGTATCCTAAAAAGTTTACGGATATGGGATCTGATCGAATGTTTGCTTTACGAGGATATTTATCAATAACAATTCGGTATTTTATTTATTCGATTATATTGTATTTTAAGTCAATTTTATTATGTTCGACACCGCGTCAATCTGGTTTATCCTCATCTTCCTCTTGTGTGTGTTTCGGGTGGTGGAAAGCATGAATACTTTTACCCAATCGAGTGCTTGGACTTTGTTGAAATCGATAAACAACCTGGAAATTAATTTTAATGCTTATACTTAGAATAAATGTTTTTTAAAAAATTATTTTAAACAAAAGTGTTTTAGACATTATATCTATATTGATTATTAATGCATGTTTTCAGTTTTCAGAATCGATATGATCAGTGACGTGAATCTTGGTATAAAAATTTATATTGAGAATTAGCAAAAAAAATAATTTCAGAAACTGCTTCACGTATGCTCGAACGCCTGAATTTGAAGCATGAACAAAATTCTTTGCCACCAGAAGAAATTATTGGCACACAACAACAAAATATTTTTATTTTCAATTCACCTAACTGCGGATTCGACAACCGATTTAAAACAACATTTACTTTGCTTGGACGGACATTCACTTCCATAGAACAGTATTTTATTTGGCAAAAGGCTAGATTTTTTGTGGATTTGGAACTTGCTGCTGAAGTGCTTATGCTTACTAATCCATTGGCTATAAAACGAATTGGAACCCGTGTGAAAAATTATAAGAGAAACGAATGGGATTTCGTCAAAGATAAGGCGAGGATTTATGTCACAAATGAAAAATTTTTATTTTTTAGATAATGTACACAGGCCTATGGGCCAAATTTACACAGAATGTACAGCTCTTCAATCAATTACGTGCAACAGGAGACGGACTCATTACACACGCCTCTACATCAAATTTACATTGGAGTAATGGATTGAGCCATAAAAGCCCGTGTCTTAATGATCCAAGTATTTGGGAGGGCGAGAACAAACTTGGTGAACTATTGATGGAATTACGAACCGAAATTAATAAAAGTATTTTTTAATTTATTTTTTCAAAAACATCGATATTGAATTGTAAATCTTATTTTGTGTTAAATAAATTTCTTCTTCTGATTGTGCTCCAGTAATAATGCATTTTCCGGTTGCGAATACTATAACAACTATGTGCGATTCCTTGAGTCTTAGACACATCCCCGGAAAAAATTCAGGATTGTAGGATATGTGCCTAGCCAACCATGAGGGTTGAGCGAAACGCATCGAATCATACAAGGCTAAAGATTATTTTTTACACGATAATTAAGATACCTGGCATATTTATGAATCCTCCAAATGTAAAAGAAGAAACTATATTCTGAATTCTAAAATTGTGCATATTTATGAATAACTCGGCTGAAGCGGAAATTATTTTAACAAAATGGTGAATTGCGGTTTCCGAGGCCCTTACTGATTTTGTACCGACGCATACTATTCTTCCATTAGCAAAAAGTAGTGCTGTAGCAGCTATTGGTTCTTTTATCTTAAATGTTAGAGCAGAAAAGCGCTCAGGACGATATTTAGCATTAGGAATATTAGCTGCAAGATTATTAAGATCTAGTTTGTTGTTACTTTCTATCAGACTAGCTGTAGATACCACGTTTTGAATAATTGCTTTTTGATACATATTTAAGGTCCTATATAAATAATATCAAGACTTTATTGTTAAATAAAAAATGTTCACAGCTCCTTTTACTATGATAATTTCGGGTGCCACCGGGAGTGGCAAAACCCAATGGTTATTAAAATTTCTGGCACACACTGACCAACTCATAGATCCTCCACCTTCAAAAATATTATACTGTTTTGGAGAAATGAATGAAACTGTTTTTAAGCTCAAGGAAATGGGAATCACTACTTATAATGGGGTTCCTGAATCTGATCTAATTAAAAAACATCAGCTTTTAGTTCTAGATGACTTAATGCTTAATATTCCAAATGATTTTTTAGATTTACTTTTTACTCGCGGTTCACACAATTGGGGAGTAAGCGTGATTTTTGTAACTCAATCACTTTACGGCCGTAATATAAAGACAGCAAGAGCAAATGCACATTATATCCTTCTAACTAAAAATCCTCAAGGATTATTGCAAGTCCGGACACTCGGCTCGCAACTTTTTCCAAAAATGATAAATTATTTCCTTGAATCTTACCGCGATGCGACATCGGAACGTTTTTCTTATTTATTGATAAACATGCATCCCAGCACTGAGGAACATTTAAGACTTTCTACAAATATATTTCCCGGAGAAAAAACCACTATATATCTACCCTTGTAATATATAAGTGCTCAAAAATGCTATAAATAAAAATGCCCACGTATAACTATAGTCCATACGTTAAGGATAATTTTGAGTTTCTCCAAAGTTTAGCAAAAACTACTTCTGAGAAAAAGAAAAACGCTCTTATTATTTCAGCAAGCGCAGATCAAATTTTAGCGATTGTTGAAATTTGTGCTAATATTCTAAAGAATAATTTTACTCTAAGTAGGAGACAACGTAAAAAATTAGCACAATTTGCTGACTTTTATAGAGCAATCGCTCGAACGCGTACTGAAAAAAGTGCAAGAAATCGCATACAACAAGGAGGTAGTGCCGCTCTAGCAGCAATACTTGTACCCGTCTTGGGAGCTTTAGCTGAACACATTATTCATAAATTCTCTCAGGAATGAAACATACAAAGAAAATGATTATGGTGCCTGAGAGCGAATATCTTACGCTTTTAGGCATGATTAAAGGTGGGGACTTTCTACAAAAAGAGAAGACACAAACAGATGTAGATATTATGAAAACCCTCGATGATCCGAAAATTTCGGAAGATTTAAAAGCAAAGAAATATAATTGGTTATATAAGAAGAGGCGTCAGCTCAAAAATGAGTTGGAAAATCGCCCACAAAAAGTTATTATCGATGAAGGCAAACCTTCTCCAGAAGTTGCACCATACTTGCAGGAAAACATCGCTAATACACCAAAACCAAAGTTAGTTCCCAGCAAAATTCAACTGAATTCTACCTCTGAATATCAGTCTGACTCTGAAGTTACTCCTAAGTTGCCGCGAGCAAAGAGAAAAAGTGCAATTCCTTTTTCCAAATTCAAGGGTATTATTGCACCACGCTATTCCACAGAATTGGATAATTATGTAAAAGATAACGCAGAAAAATTCAGAATAAGTAAGAACGGGAGTTTTGAGGCTAATGTCCCTGGAAGACTTGTAAAGAATAGCAATTTCACAGATGTTCTCGAATATGTAAAGGGTGAGACATCATCTCCCCCAAAAGGTTTCAGTTTTCTTTTTAATCGTCTTTCTAAGGACCCATTAGTGAAAGAAATGATTAAAGAGACGCGTGGAGAAAGTACTAATGAAGGTAGTACAACCGATAATCAATCAGGTAGCGGGAAAAGAAGAAAAAAAGTTTTAGTTAAAGTCTTGCCTATAAATTCACCAGGATTAGTAAGAAGAAAAAATAAATTTATTCCACAAATATGGGAAAAGCTTTAGATACCTTCTTAGAAAAAATATATTATTCACTTAATTCACCCGCCTCCTATGCTGGAATAAATCGGGTCTATGAAGAAGCGCGGCGTAAATACCCAAAAATAAAATTTCAATATGTTTATGATTTTCTTCATAAGCAGAGAGTGTACACAATGCATAGGCCTCTAAGAAAAAAGTTTCCTAGAATGGCCACTAGACCAAGCGGTTTGCACACAGATTGGCAAGCGGATTTGGCAATCTTTGATCAGTTAGCTAAATATAATGATGGGTACAAATACCTTTTGGTTTGTATTGATGTACTAAGTAGAAAAATATTTGCGGTGCCTGCCAAATCTAAGAGTTCTGAGGATATGATTGATGCGTTCGAAAATATTTTTAAACTTTCAAAAGGAATACTTCCCCATAAATTATATACGGATCGAGGATTAGAATTTGAAGCGAAACGAATGAAAGAATATTTTAAAAAGAAGGATATCGATAAACGAGTAGTTTATAGTCCAGATGTGCATGCTTCAATGGCAGAAAGGGCAAACCGTACTATCAAAGAGCGATTGTACAGATATTTTATCGAAAAGAACACCTTGCGGTGGATAGATGTTATTCAAAAAATTGTTTCAGGAATAAATGCAAGTATTAATCGAACCACAGGTGTATCTCCAAATTCTGTTACGTTTAAGAATGCTGGGGAACTTTTTAACAGACTATATAAGGATCCTAAAAATATACAAAATATTAAATCAAGCTCAATACTCGAGCCAGGACAAATTGTTCGTATCACAAAAGAAAAAGGGAAATTTGAAAAGGGATATTTACCCAACTACACTGACGAATTGTTTCGCGTACATATTAAAAACGACAATAGATCGCCCCTGACATATAAGTTAAAAGATTTTGAAGGAAATTTAATTGAAGGGATATTTTATAGAGAAGAATTGGTACCCACACAAGAAGATACAACTCACCGTATTGCTGAAATTTTAAAAACCCGTATACGTGCAGGGATTAAGCAACATTTTGTTCGTTGGATAGGATATAACGATAATTTTAATAGTTGGGTTAACGATAGCGATATTGTTAGAAGATAAATATGGACTCCTTTTATGTTATATTACCCTCAAATACAGGAGGGGTTGAAGGAAATACCACTTCTAAATTTACTGTTCGAATGCCTGATACTCTTGAATTGGATTCAAGTTGGACTGTTGCACTATCTAATATTATATATCCGTTTTCTTTTTCATTGGCCGGAGATTCCGAAGAACAAGAATCAATAACCGTTTTTCGAAGATACGGAAATGAACTTTTACCAATTCGTATCGAGATACCAGATTTGTCCTTTGCCTCAGAAGAGGCATTAGAAGAGGCTATTAATGCAGTTTTGCTTGATGTATGGAAAAAGGAATTGGATCGCGAACGAGAGGAACAGAGGCTTGAAGAGAATAAAAAAAGAATTTATGGGAATTTTCGTAAAAGGCGCGCTGTCGAATCTATAAAAGAACAGTATAATAAACATGGTTATTTCGATCTTTATACAAATGAACTCAATAAATTTATCAAGCTATTATCAGAAGAGGATGAGGCAATTAGTCCAAAACTTACAAATTTGAGTCCAGGAGAAGGAGGAAAAAATATTCGTCTTTTGCCTCCTGCAAATCAAAAATCTCTTTATTTAAAAGTTATTGATAAATTTATTGTTTCACACCAACCCTTAGAACCTACTGAGCAATTGGCTAAGAATGGCTATTTCGATATGCAAAAGCAAACCTCTTTTAATTTTATGAAATATTTAGGCAAAAAAGGAATTCGATTACCTCCTATTAGCCCTGCCCCTCTTGCAGTTGATGGTATAGAAAGGGTTCGGTTTCGTCCGTATACCGATCAAATGGAGCGAGTCAAACAGGCTATTAAAGAATTTATGAATCCATCGAGGGACGATCAAGCTGAAGAGAAAGTTGTATCTGTCAATAGTCAAGAAATAACCCCTGAATCAACTCCACAAACAGAGGATGAGCATGAGAATCCGCAGGTTGATTACTCTCTAGTGACTATCACTCAACAATTGGAAAAGGAAGATTATTTTGATATGCCAAAGGACCGTGCTTATAAATTTATAAAATATTTAAATACGGAAATTAAGGGCGCAAAACTTCCAAATGTATCTACGGTTGCGGGAAGCTCTGTTGAGACGATTAGATTAGAGCCACAAACTGATCAGAAAGATCTAATAATAAATGCAATTAAAAGCTTCATGTCCAATTCTCCATACGTGCCTGAGTCTATTCAACAATCAGAAACAACAGATTCTGTAGAAGAAAGTTTTGTTGAAAATGATCAAGAAAATTCTAATGAAATTGAAGAAACTCCTGCTACAGATGTGACTAGTTATATAATTGACGCTACGCTCAATCCTGAGCCTCCAGTTGAGTCATCTCCCACTCCTGAGACTCCGGTGACAAGGCCAATAATCGAAGCTCCGCCCCCTCCTGTGACAAGTCCAATAATCGAAGCGCCTCCCACACCGGTGACAAGTCCTATAATCGAAGCTCCGCCCATTCCTGCGACAAGCCCTGTAATCGAAACTTTCCCTACTCCTGAGACTCCAGTGACAACACCTGAAGAAAAACACCTTGAATCTAATGACAAAACTCCTTTAGATGGGAAAATAACTCCCCTTTCATATGTAGAGGTAACGGATGAAAAGCCATTATTAACTGATGAGCAAAAAGTTTTAATGGAAATGGCCGTTCGTGCAGCTACAAGAGCATGGAGAAATAGTGTCGAGTTGGCAGAGCAAGCACAAATAAATATGGAACTTGGTGAAAAATATTGGCAGAATGCGCGCTTTAAGTATGCGCTTAAAGATAGTGTGATTACATTAAAAGAAACGGGCGAAACTGTACACTTAAGAAAAACACCTGAAAATATTATTGAATGGGTTAAATCTCAATTAATATTGTTAACTAATCGTAAAATTTCAATTGATAAATGGACACAGGAATGTTTAGAGTATGGAAAAAGAGCTTCGGAAGCACAGCTAGAAACTAAAGCTGCAGAAACCCGCGGTGATGTTTCAGAAGCAAGAAAAGCTGCGGATCGTGCTAAGGCCGCAGAACGTAAGGTAAAGGAAGCAGCCAGTCAAGTTGAAGAAGCTGTTGCAGGACAAAAACGTTTATCAGAAGAAATTATTGGTAAAGTTGACGCAGAACTTGCGAAACAGGACACGGCAATCGAAGATACTTCGTTATTTCCTGTATCTCCAACTATTGAAGATGAAAATGAAAAAATACCAGAAGAGAATATCGAGGAAAATATTGAAATCCCTGAAGAACATGAAGTTCTAACCGATGAGGACGAAGAAGAGTGGACACCTCCATTACCAGAAGAAACTATCCAAGTATACGAAGAAAATATTGAGGCGAACGAAGAACCAACGATTATCGAAGAAGGTACTGCGGAAGAAGATAAGCAAGAGGATACACAACATGAATTACAAACAATAACCGCTGATGACGAAGAGCAATGGGAAGCTCCATTACCAGAAGAAATTAATGAGGTACATGAAGAAACAATAGAAGATACTGAAGAAGATGATAAAAGAGAAGAGCCTCCGCAGGAATCACAAACAATAAGCGATGAGGACGAAGAGCAATGGACACCTCGATTAGCAGAAGAAGATCCTGTAAGTATTCCACCATCAACCGCAAATTTACTTGAAAATATTGTGCAGCCTAAAGTAGATGAAATAATTCATACAGAGGAGCGGCCTTCTCTTCTACGTCCTGAAATGTTAATTGGAGAGCCTCCTCACCATCCCTCCTCATGGAAAAGCTTCTTTGGACTTGGCGGTATGTCAAGCGAAGACAAAACAAAACCTAAAGAGCTTCCAGGCCAAAAGGAAAAAGCAGAACCTCACAAAGAAAAGTTAACAATAAGAGTTGATGATTCGGATCCTAATGTAAAGAAAATGCATTTTGCTAAATATGACTATCCTCCTGAATATCTAAAAATGCTTCTAAGCTTTTCCAATATACAACTAGCCGATCCAAAATATCAATGGGTTTCAGTACACTTTGATAAATTGCATAAGAGGTTCCATGTCTTCTTACAAGGAAACGTACATTATATTCAAATAAGTCGTCAATTAGCATATACTCTTGGTTTTGATTCTGAGAAAGTTCATAGTGGACAAGTGGCAAAGTATATGCCTGATATATCTGGGGGTGTTCGACAATTTTTGGTTTATGCGCCAAGGCTTGTTGAAAATAGCATAATTGGAAACGTAACTGCTCCCCTATTACGTGTTGTGAATTTAACTGGTAAGCCTGGTGATAGTATTTCCGAAGTATATATGACCGAACATCAACATCGTATATTAGGTAAACGTCATCCAGACATTACTATTGAAATTCGTACCTTAGCTGGAAAACTTGTAAAATTCCATTGGGGAACCTGTATACTAACACTACATTTTCAACGCTCTCTATTTTAAAAATGACACATGTACCTGTAGATCTAGATAACATAGACTGGGGTCCTTTTCTAGCATCACAAGATGGTGGGGCAAAAACCGACATATCAGATGAAAGTCGATATTTTCAGGGAACAAGGTATCAACGAGGTTTTGGAGTGCTCAGTACTGTAGGGCGTTTTCTAATGCCAATAGTTAAAAATTTAGCATCTAGTGCAGGCCAAGAAGCAATCAACGTTGGTAAAAATGTGCTTGAAGATGTTTCGCAAGGCCGATCAGTTAGTGATGCCTTGAAGCAGCACGGTAGCGAGGGTCTTCAAAAAGTTGGGAAAAAGCTCCAACAATGCGGAAAAGGTAAAAGGAAACGTAAGCCAAAACTTATTACAGAAAGTTTAGAGAAAAAAGGACGCCGCTATAGGGATCAACTTAGTTTAGAAAATTTCTGAGTATATAAGTATAGCATAATTACTAATTTTTCTAAGTAAAAAATGACCACATTAAAGAAGATTGATAAAGATAGTTCCGAAGGGGTTGATAATCGTCTGACCTTCTTTTCTATACCCTCTACAAATGTTGGTATACAACGTTCGGCATACAAAGAAATACTACCTCTCAATGCTCTCAACCAATCTGCGGGACCGTTTGTTTTTCGATACTTTGGGGACTCACTCTATCTTGATTTGAGCAAAACTTTTTTAAGCTTGGTTTTATCTCTTGAAAGAAAAGATACAACTAGTGGTGAGTGGGTTCCTATCACAGACGGTGAAGCTGCCGATTTGAAAGGTGATAAATTTACAGGGGTTGCTCAATATTTAGGGCTTACATGGATTCGTCGTCTTACTCTTTCAATTAATGGGGTTCAGTGCTATGATTCTGGTATTCACTATGCATACCGATGTATAATTCTGCATGAACTTGGCGCCGATAAAGAAGTAAGTAAGGGCCTATATGAAGCTGCGCTTTATTATAAAGACGCAGTGGATAAGGATGATTCCGAGGGCTCTGGCTTTAAATCTCGAGTTTCTCGTTTTGCCAAAGGTAAATTATGTAGAATGTTTTCCCATTTAGATTATGATATGGCTAGACAGAACCAGCTCTTAATTCCACAAAGTGACGTGATCTGGACCATTTACAGAAATTCTGATGAATTTCTAATTCATACTCCAAAATTCCGCAGCACTGCAGCATTAGTAGAAAACACTCATAAATACCGACTTAGGCTTCACGACATGAGAATTTTAATAAAACAAGTTGATTTGAATATGTCTTTAAATAATGCTATTGCTAGACATCTAGAACAAACACCTGCAAAGTATGCTTATAGAAAAATTGATATCCGTAGTGTTTTCCTGGGAAAAGGGCGTCAAGAAATTACTCATGCGGCGTTCACAAGTACTTGTCCGAGACGCTTAATAATCTGTTTTGTTAGCTCTCCTGCATTCACGGGAAATAGTGCTTTATCGCCTTTCACGTTTGAGCACGCAAACTTGCGCTCTGTCTCTGCAGAATTTGGTGGATTCCAATTTCCTGCCGTTTCGTATGATTTTGATTTTGCTGATAATAACTTCGTTCGCGCTTATGTTGATATGTTTGTGGGTATGGACCTTGATAATTGGCCAAACACTGACCAGAGAACTCTCGATATCAGTATGAGAGAATTTTCAAAATCCTCATGTTTTTTTGTTATACCGATGACTTCAACACTAGAGGACACGAACGGCCTTGAATTAATCAGGCAAGGAACTACGACTATCAGGTGTATTTTTAATCAGCCAATCAAAGATGAAGGTTATGAAATGATAATTATGGGTGAATTCGATTCGGTTTTGTCCATAAATGCAGACCGCGTATTAAGCACCGATGGATCTGTTTAAGATGAATTCTCTGCAAATTGAAACTATATTAAGCCGCTACAAACCACTTGAGAATAAATTTCTGGGTGTCTTTTCATCTAATAATATTCCAAATATAGAATGGAATAGCCCTTTTTGCTTTATTGCAAACACTATGAAAAAAGGAACTGTCGGGGAACACTGGATTGCTTGTTATTCAGATAGAAAAAACACATTGGAATACTTTGACTCGCTCGGAGACCCTCCTAACTGTGATATGCGTAGATCTATGCTAAATCGCTTTAAAATAGTTAAACAAAGCCGTTATTCTATTCAATCTCCATTATCTGATACATGTGGACATTATTGCATTTGTTTCCTTGTAACCCGTTCAAAGCAAGGAAGTGGTTTTTCTTCCACACTTAGGAAACTGCACTCAATACCTTCAGAAAGTCGTGATTCAGTTATAAAGAGATTCGTCCAGAGATTAGCCATGCTCCCTAGTATATAAGAATAATACTATTAGTAATAATATAAGCAAAAATGATTTTTACTCTATATCTAATTTCATTAATCGGTCTCACCTGGGCTTTTAAACAAAATGATAGTAATATACTTTATCCGATTCACGGCCCATACCCTCCAAATGTGAATGCCTGTTTTATTATTGATGAAGCTCATGCGCTTTCAATCGGTCCTTCAGGAAATCCTAATAAAGATATGTTTTTATTAATCGCTTATGTCCTCGATTTGTTACTAATTTTTGTTTTGGCTGTAGTGTTTAAAGCACATGTAAATTTGAGAAGAAATGGAAACGGAGAACTCCCTGGAATGAGGTTTGCGAAAGGGCCTCTTGGTATATAAGTCAAGGAAATAAGCTTATAGAGATAAATTTTACCAGAGGATATGAACATGCGTACTAGTGCTAATATGTCAGAATTTAGAGAACCTGTAAAATTTTCATCAAAATCCCCTCCGCCTCATGTGCACGTCGAAACTTGTTCGTTACTTCAATTACTTTGTAAATTTAATGGAGGGTGTACACCAGAATCACTTCACAGAGAAATGCGCAAAAAATACAACGAAAATATTCAATTCCTTCAAACTCTCACTACTATGACAAATGAAGATGTTGCCATCAATGGAATTGGTCAAAAAACATTTTCAGACAGCAATATGAAGCAGGGAAAGAAGGCTATAGTAACAAATCATTTAAGACATATTCAGTTCGAAGTATATCCAAGTAAATTGACGAAGTTGGGAGCTGATCGTATTTTTGCATTAAGAGGATATTTACGCGTAACAATCAGACAATATTTTTATGTTCGACATCACATTGACCTTGTTTATCCGCAGTTGCCTCTTGTTTGCGTTGTCGGAGGACGACAGCATCAATATTTTTATCCTTTGGAATGTTTGGACGTTGTTGAAGTTAAAGAACAAAAATGAATAGGAATTTATGAAAACTATATAAATGATCATTCACCTTTTTTGCATAATTTGAAAATGCTTTTTATATTAATTTTTGTTTCAATAGTAGAAATAGTTTATTGTGAAGATAAAATAATAAAGAATGAAGAGAATAAACTATCTTTTTTTCGAAGAACTCCCAAACCGCTACCTATTGAGCGTGCTTTACGCCCTGCCTTAACTTCTCATTCAAATTTTACAACTTTAAAACCGAGTGGGCATGTTTGGTTTGAGTACGATGAGAACGAAAAGGTTTGGAACAAAATATACAAACCTACTTTTTCTGTAGTGTATTATAAACCAAATATATTCGATACCGCATGGGTATTTGTTAAAGAAACTTGCTATGACATTGCTGTAGCTACCAAATCCCTTGTTATCGGGGTGTCGAAGCTAACATTATACTTTGGACGTAGATTAATACCTATTCCCTAATCCTTTGTAAAAACGTTAGCAATTAATAAACACTTTTTATCTTTAATTTATTTTTTTTCCGTAAAAAAATATTTTTCCTATAATTGCTTTTTTAGAAAATTAAGTAAATTTTGTGGGCGTTGAATTGGCTTAGAATTAAATTTATCTTATATTAAAATTTCAACACTCCTTTGACTACGCCTGTGCTGCTTTGTAAATGTGCCCACCCGTCCGATCTGGCAAGTTACGCAGCGATGGCTTAATTTTTAAAACCCCTTAAACCTATTGAATTAGGTGATAATTGTAGAAAATTTTTTGTGCCGCTTTTAAGACAAAAATTTGTGTCTTAAAAGTGGTACTTATACTACTTCTAGTGAAGAAAAAAATCTGTATTTTCTTCACCATGTTGATATTCTTTACGGAGTGGAAAATTTCACTTATAGAATTCCGTTGGATAATGTAACTAACTGTCGTGGGTAATAATTAATTATTTAAAATTTTATTATTAATACTTTTATACCGATTATGTATTTGAGTCAAATAATTTACTCAATTAAAGCTTGGTTATTAAGGTTGTCGGATCCGGATATCCGAAATTTTCGGTTCGGATAACCGATCCGGATCCGGATATCCGAAAATTTCGGTTCGGATCCTAGAATTAAGAAAAAAGTGAAATCTTGCAAATTGGCAATACAAAATTCACAAAATTTTCGCCTGCGGCGCCAAAAATGGAAGAAATCTGGCTTAAGGCCGTCTAAAATTCTCAAAATTTTTGCCTGAGGCGCCAAAAGTGAAAGATTTGTAAACAGTTGCTAAAACACACAGGCGGCGCTTGTTTATGTACAACTTTAAGGAAATGTTGATGTATTTGGATGTGATAATAGGATTCGACCAATAGGATTTGAACCATCGACCTTCATTGACGCTTACCTAACACTATCTAATAGGCTAACGGGACAACAAAACTGACTCTATTTTAATGATTGGATGTGATATCGAGGGATAAGTACAATGGGAATTGAGGGGATATAGGGGATTAATCAATAAATCCCTCTATATCTCTCGTAATTCCCAACCCCAGCTCTTAATCCACCAAACTTGATCGTAAGAATTACCCGATGTTTCTATTAATTCACAAAGATATCTCATTACTCACAAAGATAACTCTGTTAATCCTAAATTCCCTCAATACATTTGTTAATTACCCAAATCCATATATAATTGATCTTAATCACTCTATATCCTCCATTGGGATTTAACTTTAAATTTTGAAAATAAAAATTTCGGATACCGGATCCGGATATCCGAAGATTTCCAACTATCCGACAACCTTATTGGTTACCAAATTTTATTAAATAATAGTAAATTACATGGTAAATGTCCAACTCGCTGTCCACATGTCCGCAAAAAGCATTCTGCAAAAATAATTTTTTGCTGCTCCTACTGTATCTCCTTCATTTACTCTCAAATTAATCAAATGATTGATTAACAGCTTGGCGCAATAGTGTAAGCCTCCTTGATTTTAACTGAAACAGAAAGAAATATTGCTTAGACTTTGTATTTAAAAATCTAATATATGCTTAAATATCATAATTTAAATTCGGAATTAATGAAATAAGCTCACTAGTTGGGAATTTAAAACTTTAATGCATAAACTAATGGATACGGCTGGTCAATTGGAAACGGCCATTGATGCTTCTTCCATTCCTTATCTCTGTAGAGAGATATCCCAGAAATCAAGAGGCCATTCCGTTGCGCCAAAATGTCAACCAATCATTTAATAACTTGAGGGAAATTAATGAAGAGAGGGAATGTATTTTGCGGACAAGTGGTCAGTTTGCTGGATATTTAACAAATTACATTAATACTGAATTCGGATGCCAGTATTTTTTTAAATTTTCAGTAAAATTTTAGAATCCTACTATGTTATTCAAGCCAGCTCTCTTCGGATTCAGAAAGTACTTCAAAGCCTACCAAAGTTTTCGAAATTGTAAAGAAAGATGAAAAACCAAACAATTTAATAAAAATGGAAGAACAATGGCATGGCTTTGTTGTTTTTAAGGAAGGGAATAGCTCCCTTGAAATTCGTGCTGAAATTTTTCCGAAAGGGTTAGTAAAATTCAAAATTTTGAGACATGAAGATATATTCAAGAGAGATTTAAGAGATACAATGCAAGAAACCGCATCCAAATCGGTCGGAATTCTAGCGAGTTATGAATTTTTGAAAATCGAAAACCGCCGAAACATGTCAGCTGAGAGAGAAATTAAGCTTTTTTTAAAAAATAAAAACTCCCAGATCGGATAACGATGAAGTTATTACATAAAAGTTACCTTGTTCTTACCTAAATTTCCACAACTGTATAAAGATTAATAATACGTATGTAATAATATGAAATAAATTTACAGAGTTAAACACATTTTGCGTAATATCACAACTTTGGAGTTTTTTGAATTTCTTTTGAATAAGGATAATGATAACTCGATAAAATGTAAGTTCAATTTATTTTTCAGAAATTTTCTAAATATTATTAAGATAAAATTTTAAAAGAGAGCAAAGTTGACCAAGACTTTCTTGATGCTACTACTCGAAATTCGCGGCCTTTGCTTGATGAATATTTGGGTGTTTTTGCCTTGAAATGGGATATTATGTTTGGAAAAACTCAAAACATTCCATTTAAGTTTGATTATCGAATGTTTTTCTATAGGTTCCTCGGCAAATGTCCAGACAAGGAGGTAATTTAATTATGAGAGTATGTACCGTATTTCTTCCAATAGTGCGACAGTCTCTATTAGACCGACCTCGTCTCATAAACTGACCCTCCCGACCGGAGGTATATAGCGATATAGAAGATTAGGAATTCACTTCGATCCTATCACTTTATCCTCTTAATCCTCTGATATCTTACTAATCTTGATGTTCGTAATATCCCGTTCACTTATATCTCTCTTATCCATCGATAGTTTTCTAAATGAGTTGTTTTTTTTCTCAGCGCTGCAGGAAAAATTTTGAAGAATTGGAGGGCCAAGGTGCTAAATTTCTTCCTTTTTCACCGCCTGAGGCGAAAACCCCTTGAGGCGAAAACCACCTAGAGGAAGGTTGAAAATAAACCGACCGGTCGCACTATTAGAAGAAATACGGTGTATTTACTAGAGTTGATCAAGACGAGACCGAGACCTATACCGAGATTCTCGGCTTTTTTCCAATATCGGTCTCGGTTTTTTCATTCTCGGTCTCGAAACCGATACCAATATTCTCGGTCCATTTCTCGGCGAGAAACGATACTGACTCAACGAACCAAAATTACCAATATTGTCCAAGTTTTCGTCCATAAATTTTTTTGGATATCCCTACATAACAGAGAAAGTGAATTTTTTTCGAATAAAGTCTTCTAAAATTCAAAAAATTTTCGCCTGCGGTGCTGAAAAAAGAAGAAATTTGGTGACTTGGCCTTCCAAAATTTAATAAATTATCGTCGGCGGCGCGCGCTGAAATGTTGAATTTTCCGAGCCCTCGGACGTTAGATTTTCAAGATTTTGATTACAGAGCCTTCCAATTTTCGGCAACTATTGTTCCCACCAGTGGATTAAGGGGATTTAAAATGATCGGAAGCAAGGATGAGCTGCTTCCGATCTGCGGCGCTTAAATAATAGTTTGGTTAACCGAAATTTTCACTTCGGCCATCCACGGATACCCGTGGATAGATAGGCCTCAGAAGTTTTAAGGATATAATCGGATACGGATGTCGACCTCACGGATAAACCTATTCGGATACGGACACAAAAATTAGTATCCATTGCCACGCAAGATCGGATCCAGATGATGAAAATAATGAATAAATTATTTTTAACGTATTTTTGACATAAAATAAAAAAATTTTTTAGTCTCGGTCAGTATCGTTTCTCGGTATCGGTCTCGGCTCAAAATGATGGTATCGGTCTCGGTATCGGGTTCTTGAGTATCGGTCAATCTCAGTCTCGGGTTGGCCGATACCAGTATCGTTTTGATCAACTCTAATATTTACTATTTATTCCTGACATATCAAAGGAAAACTAGTAAAACAAATTAATGATGTGTCTAAATTAGATATCGGAATATTTTGGGTACCGTATTACGGGCCGTAATATTGATAAACAAAAAAATACGGAGAAGTTTTATCTGTATAGTATTAAATATTTTTTATTTTTCCGTACTGTATTCCGTAACGGTTTACCTGATACGGGATACCGATAAATACCGAAAAATACTTAGTACGGTACGGATTGATCACTAGTCTAGACAATAATTTTTACCTCTTTTTCAATTTATTAACGTCTCTTTGGTAATCCCATCGAGTCATTTGATCCAGTAATTATTTTAATAATTTATTCGGTAATAGTGTCGTTTCCCAGCCCCCTTTTTTTCCTCCCAATTTTCTACCCTATGTTTGTACGGAATGGTCAAATTTTCCACTTTCTTTCATCAAATTTGCCTTTTCTATATTTTGCCTAAAAACCAGACCTGGTCATGGATACGAATTTTGCTATCCGTATCCGGATATATCCGTAGGGTCAATATCCGTATCCGT